TATCAAAATCCTAGCAAATTATTCAGCTCAATAAGCATTCACGAAATGTTTATTGTTCTGTCATTGTATGATTTTTAACACATTTCAGAGAAAAACTGGAGGCTGTCAAGGCAACATTTGGATCTAGATTTTTAAAAGCAAGCCAAACACTAATATTACAAAAACCTTACTTATGGTTCTATGGCCACATTTAGGAGAAAAGGATTCTTAAAATTACTGGGTTAAAAAAATACGTAAACATCAATGCATGCATGTATATGTGTAGCAGCAATATTAGTTAACTAATATTTATTGTTTAACTGATGTTAAGTTGTACGAGATACAACTCAGAGCAGTTGTACTTATTACACCAGTGGTTTTTACACACTTCCACCAAGATATTAATGGATTTTTAAAAAACAATTTTTTACTGTTATCTTTTCATTTTACCTCACCTGTATTTCCCAATATAGCCCCAAAGAATAAAAAAGAGGGAGAAAACAGTTCAGTAAAACTAAGCCATATATTGAATAAGTCTGACACATTCCATGCTCCATACCTATGGTCCCCCACCTTGTAAAAGAGAGGAAGGTGCCTTCTCATATCTCTTCTTAAGGGTCAAGCTTAGCCAATATAATTTCCCAGGATTCAGTTATGATTTTTTTGTTGCTGTTGTTTTAATTTACATCATTGTAGTGAATGTGTGTGTGTGTGTGTATATATGTATATATACACACATATATATGTATTATATATATATATTGTTTTCATGGTTCTTCCTACTTCACTTCATATCAGTTCATATAAATCTTTCCATGCTTCTCTGTATTCACCGTTTTACAGCACAGTAAGATTCCATTACATTCACAGACCATATCTTGTTTACCCATTCCCAAAATGATAGGTATCTACTTTGTTAGCTATTGGGACTGACTGACCTATGGGCCTTTAGTAACACCCTGCCCATTTGTACAGCACTATTTCTGCTAGAGAGAGCTTGGCCTTTCCAGGAGCTTATAATCTCACTGGGGAGAAATTAGAGTAGCATATAAGGTGCTAAATTGTGTATTCTGAACTGATATAGCTCAAAAAAGAAGGTATAAAAGATGGGCATAGTTGGGGAGGCTACAGAGAGAGAAATGGTGAGAAGAGATGATTAAAAATTTAAATCCCAAATTTAGCACACACCACATCCTTCGCACTGCCTCTTTGTGAGAATATGGACTCTAAGACATAATCAACAAATATCCAGGCTTGGTAAGGAATGCGAGAATGTCTGTGCAACACATTAGCCATAAGTGTAAAGGAGAATAAAGACCTCTTGTTGGGAGGACTAAAGAGATGGAATTAATATCAAATTAGTGATTATAAGAGGGATAAAAATCAAAGAGGTCCCGTTTATCCGTCTTTCTATCCTGCAATATCTCGATCCTCTCCTCTTCATAATATCTAACATAGTAAGATTTTAAAACTTTATAAAGCAAGATTTCTGAATTCACAAAGGACAAGTATTGTAACACATCTCTTAAAACAAACAAAAAACTTGCCAAACCAAGATAAACATCCAGCAGCCTTCAGAAATTAAAGGAGTTGGGAGAAACAAGATAAAAAATATACTGCCCACAGCCCTGAAATAGTTACACATGTTGCTAGTGGGTGGTTAAACAAACACACAGACACAGAGTATATATGCATCTGTGTATATGTGTTTCTATATATATCATATACATATATATATATACATACACACATATATACACACAAAATCATTTTTAGAATTATCCCAAACAAGGATATTCAGAATATAGTTCCTTGCAAGAAAGCAAAGCAGTTTGCAGGTTATAAAAATTCAATTATCCATGGTTTTGATCAATAATGCAGATGAGAAACATATTCTTGAAGACTTAAGCATTTTTATTGGATTATTGTTCCCTGAAATACCTCCCCCCACACACAAACAACTATTTGCTTACTTCTCTACACACACTTGTTTACTATACATAACCTTAAACTACCAACTATTTTTAAAAATTAATATGAATAATCAAACATAGTTACAGCACTTAGGAAAAGGGTGTGATGATCTGTATAGGCATAAGTCTTAAAAAGGTCTGATTTGAACAAGTTTTTAGTTCTAAGGGGGTGCTATATAGATGGAGAACACCCTCTGATTACAAGATCTTCCCTTTCATTTGCCACATTACTTTTTCTGCAGATTCTCCTCTCCTACTCCCCCCCCCCTCCATATTATTATTTTCTTAGCTCTTAGAAAAGGTCCACAATATATTTTTTTTTCTTTCTGCACAGCCAACAGGAATGAAAAGACTCCAAGCTGGCTCCCTGGGTCATGGAATGTTTAACTACATTCTGCTTTCTCACTTACAATATAAGCCTTTGATGTATTATTGCATTGGCTCCTCTTCCTTATCCCTCTTTTGTTCCCTTACTTTTCCCTGGCTGTTTTATTTTGTTGTTGGTGGTTGGTTTTTATATAAATTCAGCTTACCTGGTAAAATTCACTAGCTGGTGAATTTCCTCTGTATTACATATCATTAAGGAAAGTCTTAGGGCTAGGGGAAGGGATGGGGATCCAGATTTATTCACTCATCCACTTAGAAGCTAAAGTATTTGATCCATGCAGTACTCCAGATACATGACCTGAAAGCCGACCTTTGTAAAATTCCCAGTCCACAAAATATATATGACACAGAACTAGAAGTATCCTTAGAGAAAATTCCCTCATTTTGTAGATGAAGAAAACAGAAGCAGTATGGTGATGTGAAAAGAGCCCTGGATTTGGAGAAAGAGGACAAGGGTTTGAGTCCTAGCTCTTCCGATTTAGGAATGGAAGAGACCTTTGTGGTCATTGAAAGCTAGAGGTGTCAACAGAGTGCAGCCCCAACCACATTCAAATATAATTGAAAAATGTTTAATAAAAATACAACATGATATAGATAATGTTAATTCGTGTTTTTCTAAGTCAATATATGGCCTGCAGGAATCCCTTTTTATTTGAGTTTGACTTACACACGAGGAAACAAATATGCAACCTTGGATGGGTCACTTAACCTTTGGGCCTCGGTTTCCTCAAATTCAAAATGAAGAGGCTGGACTACTGGATCTCAAAGGTCCCTTCCCAGGTCTAAATCTACTTCTATACTTATGCCTCTCAGGTCTACGGCGTTATAAATACATGGCCAAGGTTCATTCACACAGTAAACAGAGCTGAGTGATTGAAAGCCAAGTTGTCTGACCCCAAACTTTGTGTTGTTGACAACTGAACCACACTGGGCCCTTTTTTTCCCTATGTATGTTCGCCCATTTTTTTTTTAATGGAGCAAGCCAATTTTAAACTTCCAATACACTCAAGGAGAAAGAAACAGCATTTTTACAGATCCGGTCAGGAAAATTAAGTTAAATAGTAACCCTCTGGTGGGAAAGAAAAAACAGGGGAATGAGAATGATGAGGGAGGAGAAGATGAATCAAGATAGCCTGGCTACCTTGGGGGCAAATGGGATTGGAGATTTTTCAACTCCAGAACCATCACTTCTTATTAAAGGCTGACTCTGAAAATGGGTGGGCTGATGTCTGCTAAACGCGGATACAAAAATAGTAAGTGTTTTTGTTGTTGTTGTTTAAAAAGGGGGTGGGGAGCTGAATATTCCCTCCTCCTCCCCCAGCTCACCTCCAGCCACTCCCAGGCCAGAGTTAAAAGTCCCCAGCCCCGCCGCACAGCCGCGAGTGCCCAAGAGCGCACGCCAGGCAGAATAGGCAGAGGTGCTGAGGAACCCGGTCACAGCGCGCTCGCACGCACGCACCGGCACCAGAGTCCACGCCCGAACTGGGGCAACCTGGAGCTGCCTTCACTCACCCTCCTTCCTTTCCTCTCTTCTCCAGCTCACACCCCAACCCCTACCCTTACCTGCCGCAGAGTGGCTGGAGTGAGCTCGGCCCCGGACTCTCCTGGAGGCTCCGAGCTCTCTGCGTTCCCGCAGCTCTTCCTCTTCTTCTTCCAGCCGTCGGGCTTCAGCCATGGGCTAAGCTGGGGTACACACTGGGAGCAGGAGGAAGGTAGTGAGAGGGCCAGAGACTCTACCAGCCGGGAGCCCCCATCGGACGAGCACTGTCTCCCCGCCTGCCCAGCCCTGCCCTGACTCGTTCCCTCGCACCACGACTCTGCCGGGGCCGGAGGGAATTCAGTGCCCGGAGCAGACGGAAGAGAACCCGCAACTCCTCTGGCAGACTCCACCTGCCAGGACAGTGGGGCAAAAAGGGGGAGGGAGAGAGGGCTGGAGGCGGGGGCAGCGGGAGGCGCCCAGAAAAGGGCAGCCGGCCGACTTTCCTCCGCCCTCCTCCGCGCAAAGACAGCCTCTTTCTCCCTTTTCCTTTCTTGCTCCTCACTCCTTAGCTTAGCCCCTTCCCTCTTCTTCCTCCTTCTTCCCCGCCTTCCAGATTGGGAGCCCGGGATGAGGCGGGTCTGTCCCGGCCTCGCCCTCCTGGGGGAGGGACTAGCTGCTGCCAGCCTGCCCCCACTAGCCAGCTGGGGACCCAAGGCCACCCGCCCCGGATAAGCGGACCACTGGTCGGGACAGACGAAACAAAACCAAGAACGAGCCTGGACTTGGGGGAGGGGCACAGACGAGGAGGGGGTTGGCGTTGGCTTTTTCTGCCTTTTCCCAACTTTCCGGGGTCAACAGGAAACCCGCACGCTGGACATTAAAACCAAGGGGGGGGGGAGGAAGAGGTACCTGCCAGCCTCTGCTAGGCTCGGGGCGCGGCTGCGGAGGAGAGGTATTTGGTCAGCCCGAAAGATGAGAAACCTCCGAGCTGCTGAACTTCCGGGGAAACTTTATCTGAAGTTTTATTGGTCCTCTTTCCCGACCTTATCTTTCTTTCTTAGTTGTGTTATCATTGCTCGGCCATTCCCGGAGGAAGGGAGAGACAGAGAGTGACAGAGTTCGAGGGCGGGGAGTGGGGTGGGGGTGGGGGTGTTGGAGACTGCTTAGGACTGTGTCGGGGCGCTAAAATTAGTCCTAAGTTTTGTACGAAACCTAGATATTATGAGCTCTGTATTTGGGGGGGGCAGGTGAGTACAGTGCACAGATCCACGTCTTGTTTTGTATATAGTTGCTTGCATGTTGTCTTTCTCTTTAGAACGAGCTCCTTGAGAGCAGGAACAGGTTTTTTTTGCCTTTCTTTGTATCCCCAGTGCTCAGGACAGCGCTTGGCACTTAGGATATGCTTAATAAATGCTTATTGACTGAATGTCCACCTGGGGGCTCATGAAAGGAAGGATAGCCTAGTGGATGTAACACTGACTTCAGAATCAAGACAGGCCTGAGTTCAAGTTCAGCCTTTGACACAAACTAGGTGTGTGCACCTGGGCCAGTCACTTAATTACCTTAGTATTTTTAAGACTGGAAGTTGCATAACTGAGGCCGAGCTGCATTGGTAGACTGCCTTACTAAAATTTCCCTCTAATGAAATCAGGTCTGGAACAGCCCCCCCCAACTCTAGAAAAATGTACTACATATTATATTAAATTCAACAAGTATTTATTAAGCAACTATTTACTATGTGCCTTGCCCTATCTTAGGTGCTCAGAGTACAAAGGCAAAATATATAAATTGATACAAATATAGATTGTGTATATCTCCACTTAAGGCCTCCTGTTGTGGAGGTGACCCTAGGCTTCCAAAGGGAAGGTTATACTAGCAGAACCTAGGTTCTGTTAGCTCTCACCAACCTTTGACACAGATGCTGGTGACTTGACTGTCCTCAGATGATCCAGCTAAGTTCAGAAATAATGGACCGCAGGATGACGGATTTTTTTTTTCTCCACAGCAACTCTGGATAACTGTTTACCATTAGTAGAAGGTAGGTAGAGCACTTAAACCAGTGAAAGCTCAGGTCCTTGAAAGCCAAGGCAGTTTGGTGGTACAGTGGATGGAGCTCTGGGCCTCAGGTCAGGAAGACCTGAGTTCAGATTTGGCCTCAGACACTAAACTAGCTGTGTGACTCTGGGAAAGTCATCTCACCTCAGTTTCCTCAACTGTAAAATGGAGATAATAATAGCACCTAGTTTTTAGGATTGCTGTTAGAATCAAATATTTGTAAAGTGCTCAGCATAGTGTCTGGCACTTAGTAGGTACTTAATAAATGCTGATTTCTTTCCATGTGTAAAGACTCCTAGAGCCCATAGAAAAACAAGTAACACTGAAGGACATTGGATGCTGAAGGATCATAGACTTAGAGTTGGAAGAAATCTTTTTTATTTAAAAAAAATTTTCCCCAATTGCATATAAAAATAATTTTTAACATTTGGTTGGTTTTTTTTAAGTTTTGAGTTTCAAATTCTATCCCTCTCTCATTCCCTCCCCTCCCCCTCCCTGAGATGGTAAGCAATCTGATAGAGGTTATACATGTGCAATCATGTAAAACATTTCCATGTTAGTCATTTTGTGGAAGAAAACTCAAACCAAAAAGGAAGAAAGTGAAAAATAGCATTCTTTGTTCTGTATTCAGACACTATCAATTCTTTCTTTGGAGATGGATAGCTTTTTTCATCATGAGTCCTTTGGCGTTGTCCTGGATCATTGTTTTGCACAGAATAGCTATTGAACAACTTGAAGTTGTTCATCATACAATATTGCTGTTACTGTGTACAACCTTCTCCTGGTTCCGCTCATTTCACTTTGTATCAGTTCATGTAAGTCTTTCCAGGTTCTTCTGAAATCATCCTAGAGCCTGAAGACATCTTAAAATCTTTGAACTACCTAGTTCCTACCTAGAAATCTTTGGAATGACTAATCCAAATTCCTCTCACTTTATGAATGAAGAAACCGAGACTCAGAGAGGTTAAATGAGTTGCCCAAAGTCACGGGTGGGACAGAGCAGAACCAAGTTTTAAATAACTTAGGCTTTCTGACTCCAAATGGAAGGTTCACGCCACTATATTATGCTATATAATGGAAAGAACATGGGACTTGGTGTCAAAAGCTCTGGGTCTGAAACCTAGCTCTGACACTTGGGAAATTTGGTTTTTTTCAATAATCCAAAAGCTCTTTGACTGCAGGGACTGTTTTCATTTTCATCTTAGCTCTAGAGGCTAGCATAGTACCTGACATATAATAGATATTTGATAAATGATTGTTGAACTAAATTGAATTGGGATTCAGTTTCTTCAATAGTAAATTAGGAATGGGAAAGGAGATTGTACTATCAAAGTATTCTTAACTTGGGGTTTCTGACCTGAAAACTTGCTTTAAAAAAAATTTCAATAGCTATTTCAAAATATTGGTTTCCTTTGTAATCTTGTATATTTTATTTTCTGAATTTAAAATTGTTCTGAGTTAGGGGTTTTTAGGCTTCACCAGAGGGGTCTATGACACAAAGGTTAAGGACCTCTAGGCTAGAGAATCTCTGTTATTCTTTGAAAGGAGAAAATTCTGAGGCACATATGAACTGAGCAGAGCTTCATCTCCAGTGCCTACCTAACTCCAGGACCCAGGAATTGGAGTGAGAGAGAAACTCAGATGTATAAAAAAAGTACTGGACAGAGAAATGAGTCAGTGAAAACTCAACTGCCAAAATTGCTAATGCCTTCAATAATTGCTGTTAGTTTCCCTTAAAAAGGGCAGTAAATCCTCTTTGAGTTGCCGGTAATAAATAACTCCTCCAGGAAACATATTTGCCCAGTTAGTTCTGAATTGGTGGAACTGAAGGCAGGTCCAGAAATTAAACCTTTATTATGGCCCATCCCATTCAGCAAAGCCACTAGGTAACTTGGTATTAAGCCAGCAAGAAAAAAAGGGACGGAATTGGGAGAGAACTGAAAAGTGCGTTCTGATTCCTTAGCAGAGTTGGTCTTCCATACCTAACTTTCAGATACGGTGCACAAATTCCAGCCAAGGGGTGGATCCCACTTACCTTCAACAAAGCAGCTTAGTCAGAGATTAAGGCTAAACGTTTGGGCAACTATACAGCCTGATTCACCCAGTTGAAATTTGCTATTCAGAATCTTCCTTTGCTTAGGTCTGAAGGTGATTCTGGGATCTCCCAGTAATCAGAGGGTTAGGAACCTACATTCTCCTCTCACTTACCTGTTTAAATCCACCTAAATCGACCTCAGACTGGGATATAATTGCATTATGAAGTCACCCTAATAAAGGAGGAAAACCAGGTAGGGGTTGTGAGCAAGGCTAGTTTAGTTTTAATCATAAGATGGAAACCCAAAGGTGTGGCAAACTTACAGCTAAACAAACAGTATTCACACCCTACCTTCCCACCCTAATGATATGTCAAGTACTAAACCCTTAGGAAGAAAAAGGTAAAAAAAAAAACAACCTTGAAAAACCTACCTGATACTAGCAGCAGAGCCCCACTCTTCCCCATAGTTTTAAAGGTGCTAATAAAATTTACAAGCCATGGAGAAAAATAATACTTGAAGGACCTGAGAAATTGCATGGTGCAATGGAAAGAACACTAATGTTTTTTGAGATCTTATAGTCATTCTGCCTCTTTTAGTTATGTATTTGTCCAATCCTCAATTTCCCCAGATGACCTCTAAGCTACAGTTGTAAATCTGTGATCTTAAGTCAATCTCTCATCTCCTCTGATGTAAAAAAGCAAAAATTAAAGCTGCCTTCAGTCACTCGCTTGAAGATACATGTGAACTGAGTATATCTCTGAAAAAGAATGAGAGGACAGTTTATTATAATAACTAAAATTTATGTATCACTTTAAAGTTTACAGAATATAATGGTTGGGGGTCTTTGGACTATGGTTCTCCCCTTATCTTCTCCATCTTTTTTTTCTAAATTGATATAGTTAGTTTTCCTTGTGGAGAAAGATGTGATTAGAGAACTCTGTCTCAGCTTGTCTGCCTGTCTCTCTCTGTCTGTCTCTGTCTCTCTCCCCTCCATCTCTATCCTGCTTGCTTTTGCAACAGGCTGCCCTCCATTTATGGAACATACTTCTACTTTGTTTACCTCTTAGAGTCTTTAGCTTCTATTTTCAGCAATGCAGTGATCCAAGACAATGCCTAAGGACTGGTGATGAAAAATGCTATCCCCTTCCAGAGGAAAAACTGATAGAGCCTGAATGCAGATTGAAGCATACTTTTTTTACTTTCTTTGTTATTCTTGGTTTGTTTTGGTCTGCATTTTCTTTTGCAACATGGCTAATATGGAAATATTTTGCATAACTGCATATGTATGATCTATATCAGAGAGGGAGAAAGGGAGATAACTTGGAACTCAGAATTTTAAAAAACGAATATTAATTTTTGTTTACTTGCAATTGAGAAAAAATGAAAAAACTAAACAGGAAAGTTTCTCTTTTATCCTAGAGGCAATAGGAATCTACTGGAGTCGATTGAGTAGTATAGTCACATGGTCAAAGTCACACTTAAGGAAAATTACTTTTGAGAGCAGTGAATAGGATTAGAGCAGAGAGAGACTTAAGACAAGATGGCCAGTTTAAGAGGCTATTGCAAAAATCTAGGTGAGAGGTGACAAGGGCCTGAATTAGTGTGGTAACTGAGTAAATGGTGAGAAGTGTTTTGAAGTAGATTTGGCATCTAATTGGATATGTGGGGTGAGGGAGAGTGAGAAGTCCAGGACATGGTGGCATAACAAAACTGAGACTTTGGAAGGATGGTGATGCTTTTGAGAGAAATAGCTGAGTTGAGGGGAAGGCAGGATTTAGTGGGGAAAGGTGGTGAGTTTAGTTTGACGTATGCTGAGTTCAAGCTGTGTCTGGAACATCCAATTTGAAATGTCCAATAGGCAATTGGTGATCTGGGACTGAAGCTTGGGAGAGTGACTGGGGCTGGATATATAGATCTGGGAGTCATCTGCATATAAATGATATTTAAATTGATGTGAGTTGGTAAAATTACCAAGAGAGAAAGAGAGAGAGAGAGAAAAGGATTCAGGGCATTCATTAGGAGGCATTGTGTGGATGATGAACCTACTTAGAAGACAGAAGGAGCAGTCAGATAGGTAGGACATAAAATGGGAGAATATATTGTCATAAAATGGTAGAGGAGAGAGTATCCAGGAAAAAAGTGTCAACAGTGTCAAACACAGCTGATAGGTCAAAAAGGGTTAGAACTAATAAAAGACCACCATGTTTGGAAATTAAGAAATTATTGAAAACTTTAGAGAGGAGCAGTTTTAGTTAAGTGATGAGTTTATAAACCATACTTCACAAGACTGAGAAGTGACAGGAGAGAGTGTAGACAAACTTTTTCAAGGAGGTAGGCTGAAAAAGAGGGGAGATATAGGATTATAATTTGAGGGGATGGTAGCATCTAGTGAAGGTTTTTTAATGCTTGGGGAAAGTTGGGCATATTTGGAGGTAGAATGGAAGGAATCAGCTCTTAGGGAGAAGTTGAAGATTGGGAGGGAGGTCAGAGTGTCTGCTGGAGAAGACAGGGGAGGATGGGATCCAGTGCATGTGTAGATGGATTAGCTTTGGCAAGGAGAAGTACTACCCTTTTTTTTTTAAGAGACTCAGTTGGGCAGCTAAGTGGCACAGTGCATAGAGCACCAGCCCTGAAGTCAGGAGGACCTGAGTTCAAATCCAGCCTCAGACCAAACACTTGACACTTACCTAGCTGTGTGACCCTGGGCAAGTCCCTTAACCCCAATTGCCCCCCAAAAAAAAGAAAGAAAAAGAAGAGACTCAGAAAAAGGAGACAGTGAGAGAGGATGTCAAGGGATTTTGAGATGAAGAGAATGGGAGGAGGAGATCTAGAACAGACCTTAGGGACCATGTAGTCCAACCCTCTTGTTTTATAGATGAGGAACAATCCCAATTTTTTTTTCCTGTAGGGAAAGAACTCCTAGTGTAGAAAAACCTACCTGGGGCAAGGACTATCAGTGTGTGGCCTAAAGGGAGGCAAAATAGACAGCTCTAGCCTCCTCTCCCCATAACTTTCCCAAGGAAATTCATTCCTTCCACGAAGGGAAGCAGAAAGTTGGGGCCAAAAGCTATTTTACTCTCTTGAAGGAGAGGGCCTCCTGGGCTAGAATTATATCTGTCTGTTCCCTTAAATATTATTAGTCTAAGTGATTATGTTGAGGTTTAGGGGTGCTGAGAACCCCAAAATTCAAGGGCAGAAGATGTGGGGCCTGCCTCAAATGAATTTGACTCATCTTCTTTCAGTCAGAGACAAGGTTTATTAAAACAGGCAGGCAAGATTTTAAGACTCTGAGCCTTTGTAAGGAGAATATAATATGGCCAGACTCTTAAAGAATCTGAGCATTTTGATGGAGACAAGATGGACAGAAAGACTATGGGAAGATCTGGATGTGATCAAGGAGTGACCAACAGCTTGGGTGACTGGGAGGTAACAGAGAAGGACCAGGAAGGGTCTGGTGCCCCGGGTGAATGCCAGGGGCCTGAACCACTGGAAGGGGTCTAGATGGAATTAAGGAGTGGTGGTCTAGGATATGACTAGGTGCAGACAATCAGGGCTGGGTTAGAGATAACAGGATTGGAGATTGGGGCAGGGTCAAAGCCAGGATGCTAGGACAGTTATAAGGATTATAGCCTCAGGTGAATGCCAGGGCCAAGTGGGAAAGTTAATGGAAGGGGGAGGGGGGGTGTCGGCTTCCAGAGCCCATACCCCATCAATTAAGTTTAAGCTAACTTCTGATCACTCTGTCATTATAATTGGGGGAAGAGGGACCCAAATTTCACTAATACCAAATTGCAAAATATCAATACCTATTACATGATGAATACATGTAGCAAATAGGAAAGAAACACATTTATCCAAATTATAGCAAAAAAGAAACCAAAGAAAGTATAAATAGAATATTTACCAGGCAATACAGAGTGAAGGAACTCTCCCATTGGGAACTACATAAATTAGCTCAACCAAGAGAGTCCTTGATCTCACTCAAGGGGAAACTCCCCAGTCTCTAGAGTAGCTAGCAGGGAATAGGGACATAATGGAGACAGCTGGTTCCTTCTCTTGTCTTCCCAGAGTCATTTTCTTCAGCAACTTGAAGTGAGAGTGGCCTCTTCTACCTTCTCTCTCAAGGCTGGAAGCCAGAAATGCCAGAAGTGACTCAATGCTCAAAAAAGACCGGAAACTTGAGGGGTTCTGAAGAGAAATTGAAGCTTGGAGAGTCCCAAAGGAGAATGAGGAAGGCTGAAACTCTCCGGATCAGGCCAGTTCTGCACCTGTCACCCAGACCAGGTCATTCATCTCCACCAATAAGGAAACAGTCCCATACCAATGGGCTTTGGGACTGAGGTTACATTTCGACAGAAAGGCAAGGTTTTCAACCTAGAGAGAAGAAGTAGGAACTGTGGGGTATGAGAGGAAAGAAAAGGTTCATAATAGATTCTGGGGGGGAAGGAGATTAGGAATAAATTTAAGGAAGAATAAAAGGACTGCCTTACTTCAGTGAAGACCTAGTTGATATTGGATAATATAATTACATAATGTATACTGAATTGGACAGCTATGTGAACTTGGAGTCAGGAAGACCTGAGTACAAATCTGGCCTCAGGCACTAGCTGTGTGACTGGGTGCAAGTCACTTAACCCTGTTTGCCTCTGTTTCTTCATCTGTAAAGTGAGCTAGAGAAGGAAGCGGCAAACCATTCCAGTATATTTGCCCTTTGCCAAGAAAACCCCAAAAAGAGTCACAAAGAGGAGGGCCTGACTAAAACAACTCAACAGCAGTAACAAATGCTCAGTCAGGACAATTGTGGGATTTCCTCCAACTTCGTTGAGTAATTTATGAATACAAGTCCCTAGCTTCCTTCATGGGCCATTTCCTATGGCAAGCCCTTCCTGATCCACCTAGTTCCTAGGGCTCACTATCTCCTCCAATTATCCTAAATACATTTATCTGTTTACATGTTTGTATATCTCTCTAGTAGAACACAAACCCCTTGAGAGCAGGGACTGATTTTTGTTTTGTCTGTGACTCAAGTACCTAGCACAGTACCTAGAACATCATGTGGATTTAGGGAATCCAGTTTTGTTGGGGGAAATAAAGAGTTGCTTTGCACTTGTATTTGAGCTGGCAATGGGACATCTATGAGGAGATCTTCAATAAACAGCTGGAAATGTGAATCTGGAGATCTGGGGAGAGGTAACATCTTACAATATTAATTTAAGAGTTATCTGTATAGGAGTAATAACTGAAGCCATGGGAGAGAGCAGATATGAAGGTCAAGTGAGAGATTCTAGGGATAGAAAAGGAGAAAATGGAGGAAAGACATCCTTGGGGAATGTCTACATTCAGAAAGCAGAAGAAAGAAGAATCTAGAAAGGGGACCAAGAATGAGTAATCAGTTTCTTGGAATCTGAGCTAGGAAAGAGTATCAGAAACACGGGATCAACAGTGTCAAATGTTACAGAAGTCAGTAAGAAGAAACATTTTTGTTCATTGGGGGTCATTGGTGACTAGAAAAAAATAGTTTCAGTGTAGTAATGGAAAGAGAAGACAAGTAGCTAGGATGTTGAGGAGTGAATGGTGAAGGAGAATCAAGAGTTATAAACTCCTTAAGGTATGATAATGAAGGAGAGGAGAGATATAGGATATAGGATGATAGATCCTATAGCAAACCATAAGCTTGAAAAAAAAAAGCTATAATTATATGGCAGAAATCTTCACTATCATTTCCTTTTAGAAATTATTGTGATCCTTGGGAACAGGATGGAAACAAACTCCCATTCAAAAAAGCCATCACATGGGGCAGCTAGGTGGTACATTGGATAGAGCACTGTCCCTGGAGTCAGGAGTTCAAATCTGGCCTCAGACACTTGACATTTACCAGCTGTGTGACACTAGGCAAATCGCTTAAGCCCATTGCCTAGACCCCCTCAAAAAAAAATGGAAAAAAAAGAATAATAATTTGGGGCAGCTACGTGGCGCAGTGGATGGAGCACTGGCCCTGGAGTCAGGAGGACCTGAGTTCAAATCTGGCCTCAGACACTGGACACTCACTATCTGTGTGACCCTGGACAAGTCACTTAACCCCATTTTCTAACCAAAAAAACAAAACAAAACAAAACACAAAAAAGCCATCATAGCCACAAGAACTCAAAAGAACTTTTAAGTAGCTGTGGTCATACTAAATTCTGACCATACCAAGAGTTAAAAACAAAGAGTTTCTACTAAGAGGAATACTTTTAAGATGATTTGGTCATATCATGTGTATAGTTAAGTGTTTGTGTGTTTTTGTTATTGTTGTTGTTTTAATAAAGTTTCTTTTTCGGACAGGGAAATAAAATTTAAAGATATCTTTCAGATGGGAAAAACTTTAAACATGGACTAGCAGTGGTAGGTTAAAAGAAAAAGAAATAAGAATAAGCTACATATTGAAGTTGTAGAATGCAGCACATCAAACTAAGCAGGGTCAGACATAGGGGGATAGGGGAGATTTGCACCCATTTGTAATCAGAGAGTTAAAAAAGCCAATAGAGAGGGAGAGATTAAAGATCAGTGAGGGGGAGCAGATGAGACCAAAGACATAAAGGTAAAGTAGTTAACATTGGAAAGGAAGATGTCCACCTCATACTTAGACCTAGGGAAAGGAAGAGGATGAGTAAAGACAAAGAGAGTTCTAAAATACAGTAGGGATGCCCAAAGGGCTATAAAATATATCCTTTGATCCAGGAAGACTATTACAAGGTCTGTTTCCCAAAGAGATTTTTTTAGAAGGGGGAAAGGACTTACTTTATATAAATATAAATATATATATATATATATATATATATATATGCGCAACTCTTTTTGTGGTGACAAAGGATTGGAAAATGAAGGGATGTTCTATCAATTGGGGCATGGCTAAAGAAGTTGTGGTCTGTGATTGTTATGGAATATTATTTTGTTATAAGAAATGGTGAGCAGGATGCTCTCAGAAAAACCTGGAAAGACTTACATGAACTGATGCAAAGTGTAATGAACAGAATCAGGAGAACATTGTGCACAGTAACAGCAATATTGTGCAATGATCAATTGTGAATGACTTACCTGTCCTCAGCAATGTGATGATCCAAGGTAATTCCAATGGAATCATGATGAAAAATGCTATCTACCTCCAGAGAAAAAAACTGATGGAGTCTGAATGCAGATCAAAGCATACTATTTTTCATTTTCTTTATTTATTCGGTTTTTTTTGTCTGTGTCTTCTTTTACTGACTAATACGAACATTTTGCATGAAAGTTTTGCATGATTACACATGTGTAACCTATATGAATTTGCTTACCATATCAGGAAGGAGGGAACAGGGGGGAGGGAAAGAATTGGAATTCAAAATTTAGGAGAAAAGGATGTTCAAAATTGTTTTTACATGTAATTGGGAAAAATAAAATATTCAAAAAATAAAATATAATAGGGGTAGTTGTTCTTGATAAAGGTCTTCTCTGGTGGTAAGACAGGGCGATTAGTATTCATTGTAGGAAGAAAAATAATTTTTTAAAATTAATTTATTTTGATTTATCAACAGTCACTTCCGTATGCTTTTGAGTTTAAAATTTTTCTCACCCTCCCCAAGATGGCATACAATCTGATATAAGCTATATATATACATTCCTATTAAACATGTTTTCATATTAGTGATGTTGTAAGTAAGAATTAGAATCAATAGGAAGAACTGCCAGAAAGAGGAAACAAAACTCAACAGAAGGGAAAAAAAAGCAAATAGTATGCTTTGATCTGCATTCAAACTTTATAGTTGTTTCTTTGGATGTGGATAGCATTTTCCATCACAAGGCCTTTGGAGATGTCTTATATCCTTGTATTGCTGGGAAGGGTTAAGTCTATCAATATTAGTCATCGCACAACGTGGCTGTTATTGTGTACAACATTCTCCTGGTTCTGTTCACTTCACTCAGCATCAGACCATACAAGTCTTTCCAGGTTTTTCTGAAGTCAGGCTGTTCATCATTTCTTATAGCACAATAGTATTCCATTACATTCATATACCACAACTTGTTCAGCCATTCCCAGGAAGAAAAATAATTGAGAGCTGGGGAACAGCATAGAGGGAAGACTCTTCAATGTCCAGGGCATCCTGGAGGTGTTTGTGAACTGCAGTTAACATATAGGCAAACTTCAGGGTGTAGTTAGAACCATACTACCATGATATCCTTGAACCCAGGGTCTAGAAGAATTCTAGTGACCCCAGAACCAAGTGAAGAGACTCCAACAGATTCATATCTACCCTGAGAGCATAAAGGGGAGATGGGAAAATGAATGACAGTTCCTTACTCTTAGCCCCAATACCTTCCCCCTCCTGCCCTATGTGATCATGGACAGATTCCTTAACCCAAAATAAGTTTTCCCTTGGGAGACTTCTATCCACTTCCTCTCCTTACAATATGTAAGGGGCTCCACTCATTTGTGTGTGGAGGTTAGGGACAAAACAATTCTAATACTTGATTTCTTATTATTTATACTGCTTTTATGTCTTAAATGCTTTTGAAGTTGGATTGATGATTCATGCGTGGTCCTGCAATAGAAAGCATTGTACTAAGTGGAACCTTTGGATATGATTATTAGATACTTAAAATAGCTACAGTGAACCTGGGAAAAAGTAAAAATGGTCAGAGTCAGAGTTCTCACATACATTAGAGGTCAGTGATATAGAAGTAAGGAAAAAGGAAAATGGAGGAACTAATATCAGATGGCTTCAATCATTTCTGTAAAGGAAGTTGTCTTTTTTTTTTTCACAGTTTACACAGATGCATTTATTGCCTGAGAATAAGCTTGCAAGCTGGAACAATGTCTGTTCTGACATGTTCAAGGCCCAGTTGGAAAGACTGAGATATATATGTGCATGTGTATATAGATAGATAGATAGACAGATATAGATATATATATATATATATATATATATATATATACATATAGATATATAGATATAGATAGAAAGAGAGATATTTCAAATGAAGGGAGGCAGGGAATTTGGGGAGAAAGGCAGGAAATAGTCCCCATTCCCAAGAAAGGGGAGATCCAGGAGGAGAAGTAAGGAATTCCAGGTGTCAGATATGTAGCCCTTTGATACACAAATCAGCCTGACAGTTCAAGGCTTGAACACAAACAGTAAGATAAGGAGATGTAAAACAGGATGTGTCCTAGAGCCCCATAACCAACAATTAGGGGAGTCTCTAGCGATAAAGATGTCTCTTGAAGGTCCATAAACCACCAAATGGTGCAGGGTCTACTTCAAAGCTGG